TAGATTACGGACACGCTCCTTCTCGATTAACAGCTCATCTGTAGCTTACTTATTAACAGGCATATTTTTGAATTCATTTTGTAAAACAGTTACAAAAACCGCGGATTATCTCAAACACAAACTCACTGATTCGATAACGAAAAACAATCCCGTCAGCATTTCTTTTTCAGACAAATTCCGGATTAATCTGCACAACAAAATTAGAAACCCATTTTTTCCGTTCAGACAACCGGATAAAGCAGTAATCATTCAAATACAAATCCTAAAGTGAATAGCCAAAAACTCGATTCAACAGACAAACAGATCTTCGTTTTTAAAATTACAAAGTGGAAAAAATACGTTTTCTTACAATTTCTATTCACTATAAGAGTGAAATCAGAGGAAAACTGAACAAACCTTCGAGTCTATCAACTTCCTTTTGCAATTTCTGAACAGATCGTTCTGCAAACTCGGCTCGCGTCTCCGCCTGAAATATGCTCACTTGTAACTTGAGTCGTGTACCATCTGGTAAAAGAAACATGCAATAAGCGACAGTACGGGACTAATATCAAGCCTTGGCTTAAAGAGAATGCTTGAGGACGAAAAGGCTCAAAACTAGAGGAGCATTCCCTCCCTATTCCTCTTCAGAGCCAGCAAACATAATCAGAGACATAAGTCTAGACATCTTAGTGCAGAAAAATTTTGACAAGCAAGGTTTACGATAACTGAAAGAGACGACGGATTAGCAGGGAAATCTTATCGCGTCAAAAGATTCAGAAGCACTGTTAACCCCCATAACCATAGGTCTGCACCTTTTTTTTCTCTGAATAACTATCACAATCATACCTCCTTGAGACGTGCCGAAACAGTACGGATCTGTTCCTCATACGAATCTTCACGCTGTAAAGCTTTCTCTTCGGACACTTCAAGAGATTTCAAGTTATTGCCGACGACACGGAGCTCCTCTTCCAATTCCACAATTTTGCTGCACAAATACAAAACAACGATAACACGATGAAAAGCGTGAAAATGAAATTTTTCAATGGAGAATTTCACAGGAAAAAAAAAAAAGAAACCGAACCTGAGCACTGAACTTATGTAACACCGGTCCACGACTCTGGCACTTGAAACATGCAAGTGCAACACACTGTTCCAGCATTCAGACAACACAACCACAACACAGATACTTAAGAAGCAACAGCTGACAGCATCGCATACGTCAAAAGCCTCAGGGGTCAGCGGTGTCATCCTTCCTTTTGGTAAATTTTTCCAATTATTAAAATCTTCCGCCCGTGCGAAGATGCGTTTTTTGCATAGTTCTCCGCAGTTTTTGTTGCTTCCGGCACCGACTAACTGAAAATTTTCTGACGGCAGCGAGGAAGTAAATGGCCAATCACGCGAATTTCGAAAAGGGGAGCACATGTACAGTCAACCGATAGTATGTACTTCCTGGAGGGCTGCAGTCCTGGATTGGAAGGCCTGGTCAACTTGTGTTTGGCGTATCCAACCTGTTCT